TAGTAGGGTTCAATGATGGAGTGCTTTCTTATGTAGAAAAGGTAAGTTAATGATACATGGCCTGTTTAAATTATCAGTCACTTATTGTAATGAGTCTGTCTTCATTTTTCTTTGTCTAGTGTTTGACAGACTTCAGTTTTTTAAAAGCCATTTTAGGTTTACAGAAAACTTGATCAGAGGGCACAAAGAGTTCCCACATAACCCCTGTGTATCCACACTGTTTGCTCTATTTTTTTTTAAATCTTATATGACTGTGGTACATATGTTACTACTGCTAAGCCAATACTGATGCAGTAAATTTTACAGTTTATGTGAGCTTGACTCTGTTACGGGATCTATGGGGTTTGGGCAAATGTATAACCACGTGTATCCATTATTTTTATGTCATATACTGTAGTTTTACTTTGCAGAAATCTTTGCTTCACCTACTCATTCATTTCTCACTCCAGCCATTAAATCCTTCAAACCCAGAGACTTCGTTTATTGATTCCTAGTTTTGTCTTTTCCAGACCGTATTGTACCCACAGTGGTACAGTGCATAGCCTTGCCACATTCGCTTCTGTCACTGAGCAATGCACTTTTAAGGTTTCTTCATGTATTTTCCTTCCTTAATACCTCATTTTTTAAATCACTGAATAGTATTTCATTGAATGGATTTGCCACTGATTGTCTGTTTGCCTCATGAAGGACATCATGCTTACTCTAACTCATGCCAATTGTGAGTAAAGCACCTATACATATTCATGTACAGGTTTTTGGGTGAACATAAGGTTTCAGTTCCTTTAAGTCTATTCCAAGGAGTGTAACTGCTGGATGTTATTATTTGTAGTAAGAGCATCTTCTCTTTTGAGTGGAAGTTCCCATCTCCAATGTAGATATGCCCACTTTCATTCCCACCAGCAGCAAAGGAGGATTACCTGCACCTTCAATCCCATCAATTGAAGAATTGATGGTATTTCTAAGTAGTTGTATTTTGAGTTTCAGCCATCTAATAAATGTGTAGCAATACCTCATTGTTCTTTTATTTGCATCAAGATTTCCTCATATGTAGGAGTTTATTACTTTTGCATTTTACATGTAGATCTCTGATGTATTTTGAGTTAATTATTGTGAAAGGTGTAAGGCTTGTTTCCACATTTGTTCTCTGTGTGTGTTTGTATGGCGATATCCATTATTTCCAGCATTATTTGTTTAAAATACTTTCTTTTTCCACTGAATCATCTTTCCTCCTTTGTCAAAGATCACTTGAGTATAGTTGTGAAGTCCATAGGAAAGCAATTGGCTTGTGTATCCTTGACCCTTGGTGTGCTCTCTCATTATTCCAGGAGTTATCTCTTCTTGTGAGTTTTTCCACTTTCTTCCTGATACTGATTTCTAGATTACTTTCATTGTGGCCTAAGAGCATATTTTGTATAATTTTTGTTCTTCAAATTTTAAGGTATGTTTTATGTCCCAGGATGTGTTCTGTCTTGGTGAGTGTGTATTCTGCTGTTGTGTGAAGTATTCCACAGATTATGACTAAATCCAGTTGTTTCATAGTGCTGCCCAGTTCCACTCTGTCCTTCCTGATGTTCTCCATGCTGGAATTTATAATTCATGATGAGGTGGTGTTAAAGTCTCCAGCCACAATAGTAGATGAAGACAGTATTTCTCCTTGTGTTTACCAGCTCTTGCCTTTTGTGTTTTGCACCTATGTTGTCATGTACATACATATAAAGAATTACTGTGCCTTCTTAGTGAAGGGACCCCTTCATCATTCTGAGATACCCCTCTTTATCTCTCAGTTATCTTTGGTTTGAAATCTTCATTATCTTTCATTTATATACCTATGCCAGCTTCCCTTTGATTACTGTTGGTGCGGTATATTTTCCTTCACTTTTTTACTTTTTATCTATCTACAGCTTTATAGTTAAAGTGGATTTCCTTTTCATGAGGAGACCACTTTCTCCTCAGAGTGTTTATAGAGAAGACTTTCGAACCCTCTTCAGAAATTCTAAGGTTCTTAGGGAAAGCCATGTAGTATTTACATATTCTTTGGGGTATAATTCTTAAAGATCTAGTACATATTAACTATGAGATTTAGAGTTTACTTCCTTGAACCTCGGTTTTCCAATTTGTAAAATGGGAATGGTAATAATAGTATCTATCCTAGAAAATGGGTATGAGGATTACCTAATGATGGAAAGTGCTTATTACAACTGGCACATTGGAAAGGCTCAATAAACAAATGCCCATGTTGACAAACATGTAGAGTTGATGCTCGCTAGGGAGGGTGGAGTGGGCTTCTTGTACTGCCAGTGCCCTCCTAGATGGAAGCAGGAGCCAAGGAAAAGGGCCCTGGGTTGTTCCCCTATTGGCTGTGAACTTCAGGTCTCCATTGACTCCACTGGACTTGAACCAGAACAAAAAGGATCAACAAGGTCAGACAGGAATGCTTCTTCTAGAGGTGGAGGAGCCCTTGAAGGTCTTTCAACACAGGTAGAAAGACTGGGACCCAGAAAGAAAAACAGTAGGGTCAAGGTAAGTTAAAGTGAACTTACCTTGGACCAAAGCAGAAGGTGTCCAGGAGTGATGGCGACAGCATCCCTTCAGAAACAGGACAAATACTTCCTCCTGCTCTCAGGTCTAACCTTTGAGCCTCACTCATGTAGCTGGCAGAGCATGGAGGAGGCCATCTGTGATGTCACAGAGTAGAGGGACCAGGGAATGTTGGGGGCAGGGGAGCATGACTGGGCTGCAAAGCCACGGAGAAGGAAGTCTGTTGACCCCCTCTCCGATGGCCCTTCCCTCTGTCCATGATGCTATGCTCTCCATCATGGGGACACTGGAATAGGGTGTTCTTTGGTGCTTCTTCTAAAAACATCCTGAGGAGGGCTGGGCTAGAAGGAGCAAGTACAGCACTAGACACAGAAGACCTAGGTCCAAATTCTGTCTCCTACATCACCTGTAGGGTAACCTTGGGCAAATGGACTCTGCAGCTGGGTTTCTTTAAAATGGGAAGAATTACACACTTACATGTCCTTTGTAGATCTTTACGGTTAAGTCAGATTAGGTAAACATTCACCATGGTAACAATAACAAAAAAATTATTGTTAATGCGTGAAAAAATAAAGTGGCATTGTTCCCAATCTATCTTTAAGAAAAAATATAGTGGATTTCTTGTAGACAGTATATAATGTGATTTTTAAAAATCTGATATTAACTATTGTATCTTTCAATTGTGTTGAGATCATTGATGATTAAAGTGATTATTGTTACAGATGGATTAGTATTTACCAAACCTTTTACTATTTTCTATTTGGTGCCCCAGTCCTTTGTTTCTGTTTGTCTTCCATCTTTTTTCTGCCTTCTTTGGCTTTAATTAAGCATTTTACCTAATTTTTAATTTCTTCCATAACATATCAGTCACACATTATAAAACTTTTTTATTTTTTGCCTTTGAGTTTTGAGTACACTTTTACAACTAACCCTCATGCTCTGTCCTGTCTCACTGTACCACTTTGCTGGTTGTGCAAGCACCTCAAACTGCACCGTTCCCACTTACCCCGTCACTGTTCCTTGTCACGTTGCTGTCATTGATTTCAATTACCCATAAGCATTTTTACTAATATTACTATTACATTATTATTACTATTACTAATATTATTTTAAACAAAGTGTCATATATTACATGATAAGAAATAAAAGATATTTTATCCTTATTCATTTTTTAATCCTCCATGTTTATCATGAATTTTTTAACATTTCATAGTAGATGTACTAGTGACAAATTTTCTAGAGTGACTTGTTGGTAAACACTTCCTCATGAAATTGGACAATGAAAATTTTGGGTTTTTTGGAGAAAAGCACTATTGCATCCTTTATGTGATCTACAGTTGTGAGCTGGACTTCCTTGAACTTCCTTGCAACCTGCAGCTCTTAACTTGTTTTGCAAGGTCAGCAAGGCCCAGGTACCCAGGTATACTTTGATGGTAAAGAGCTCTCCCAGCCTGTTATCTCACTGTGTGTTCTCAATTTTGGCTGGAAGCAGCCCTGAGCACATGAATACAGGGATTTTGTAGTCTTGTCATGCCTTCTTCCTTGTGTCTGAGTTGTAAATTTTAAGTAATTTTTCAACCTCATTAAATTGGACAGAGAGAGAAAGAAAGAACTCAGTCCGTGATAAATAAAACACAAGTTAAAAGTGATCAGTCTCCACAAGCATATTTGGGGTATATTAACTGATTACTGGTAAAGGCTTGGAGAATTTTAGGATGACACTGTCAGCTAGCTTTGTTCAAAGTTTGATTCCTTTGAGTCTTGTGGACTTACCTGTTTGGTGATGGGGTGAAAAGAAAAGCACCCAATTCTTCACTATATTTTATTCATTAAAACTTGATACTAATTTTACCCTCTGCCTCCTGGAGGGCTGTAAATGGTGGGTAATAAGGAAGAAAATGAATTTTTTTTCATTTTCTTGGAATTGATGGTCTTAAAAGATACATTTTTTTTAAAGATTTTCTTTATTTTTAGAGAGAGGAAAAGGGATGGAGAGAGAGAGGAAGAGAAACACAATGTGGGAGAGATGCATCAATCAGTTTCCTCTCACACACCCCTAACTGGGGACCTGGTCTGCATCCCAGGTATGTGCCCTGCCTGGGAATTGAACTGGAGATCTTTCAGTTCACAGGCCAGTACTCAATCCACTGAACCACACCAGCCAGAGCTATGTTTTTTTATCTGTATAATATTTCAGTTCTTTTCCTGCATGCTCAGAACCATGACATTGAAGATACATAAGGTGTAAAGTGATTCCAGTAAAATGTGTCATTTCCATGTGTTAGTGATGGTATTAAATTTAGGAGAAACTGTGAACAGAGAATAAGCTTTTGATGATCATACCATAGATGAGATGTTTGGAGACTAGAGGATCATACATAACCTTCCTGCAAGTGGAGTTTAGGCATCCCAATTCTGTCAGTCTCACACAACCTCCTCTTCACATATTTGGGATGTTTCAGGACTCAGTATCCTTTGAGGATGTGGCTGTGAACTTCAGTCTGGAGGAGTGGGCCTTACTGAATCCTTCACAGAAGAAGCTCTACAGAGATGTGATGATGGAAACCTTTAGGAACCTGGCCTCCATAGGTAAGGATGAGGACATTCCTTCGATTGTCAATAGAAAACAAGTGTTTCTTGTTCATCAACATCGTTCCATGTTGTGGAATGTGGGAAGGGCCAACACTGGTAAATAAACTGGGCGTGGTAACAGCTCATTGTAGATCTAGAAGCTAATATTTTTTTTTCGTAATTCTAATGCTTTGGAATAATTTTTCTGCTTCTGAATTTTAGGGGGAAAATGGAGAGATCCTGACATTGAAGATCAATACAAAAAGCAGGGGAGAAAACTAAGGTGAGCTGCACAATAGAAACAGTGTCTCATGTGAGAATTCTCATTTGCTATGAAACTTTTATAAAAAAACAAACAAAATTAATAAACCCTGCTTAACGTGTCTTTGTTAGAAAATTTTTACTAAATATGCTTTTGTTTTACTAAAAATGCTTTCTATAACATATATGTTACAGTTTAAAAATGTTTAAAATGTAACATAAATGTTCAGTGTTTGCAAAATTGTTCACTTGGAAACTGTATTAATAAACCCCATATATGAATATCACGGTTTGATAATAGCATGGGTGAAGTCTTTCTGGAAAGCATTCAGTACATTTAATTTCAAACAATTTAGACACGGCAGAATACTTATACTTTTCCTACAAATCATAGTAAATATGAAGAATATAAAATCATTAATAAGGAATCACTAATAATGTGCTTCTTGTTTTTTATAGAAGTCATATGATAGAGAAACTCTGTGAAAGTAAAGAGGATAGTCAATGTGAAGGAAACTTCAACCTTATTTCAAATTTCAATCTGAAGAAGAAACTTACTGGAGCAAAACCATATGAGCTCAGTTCATGTGGAAAAGTCTTTGTGTATCATTCATCTCTTGATAGACTCATTAGATGTCACTCTGGACAATGTGAATATCTGAAATATGGAAAGAAGCCATATAAATGCAAGGTGTGTGGGAGAGCATTTAGTTATCTGCAGTGCTTCGAACAACATGAAATAAATCACAATAGAGAGAGAACCTATAAATGTAAGGAATGTGGAAAAGTCTTCATGTGCCTCAAAACCCTTCAAAAACACATGGTAACACACACTACAGATTCTCCTTATAAATGTAAGGAATGTAGAAGAGTCTTCAGTTGTTCAAGTTCACTTCGATTACATGAAAGAACGCACACTGGAGAACAACCCTATGAGTGTAAACAGTGTGGGAAAGCCTTCACTACTTCTAGTTCTCTTCGAATGCATGAAGTAACGCACAGTGTACAGAAACCCTATGAATGTAAGGAATGTAGAAAAGCCTTCAGATATTATCAAAGTTTTCAAACACATGAAAGGACTCACACTGGAGAGAAACCCTATGAATGTAAAAAATGTAGTAAAGCATTTAGTTGTCTCAATTATCTTCGAAAACATGAAAGAACTCACACTGTAGAAAAACCCTATGAATGTAAAATATGTCATAAAGCATTCAGGTATCCCAGTTATCTTCAAGTACATGAAAGAACTCACACTGAAGAGAAACCCTATGAATGTAAAATATGTAGTAAAGCATTCACCTGTCTCAGTTACCTTCGAAAACATAAAAGAACTCATACTGGAGAGAAACCATATGGATGTAAGGACTGTGGAAAAGCCTTCAGATGTTATCAAAGTCTTCAAACACATGAAAGAAGTCACACTGGAGAGAAACCCTATCAATGTAAAATATGTATTAAAGCATTTAGGTGTCTCAGTGATCTTCGAAGACATGAAAGAACTCACACTGCAGAGAAACCCTATGAATGTAAAATATGTAGTAAAGCATTTAGATGCCCTAGTTATCTTCAAATTCATGAAAGAAATCACACAGGAGAGAAACCCTATGAATGTAAAACATGTAGTAAAACATTCAGGTATCCTAGTTATCTTCAAATACATGAAAGAACTCATACTACAGAGAAACCCTATGAATGTAAAATATGTAGTAAAACATTTAGATGTCCCAGTTATCTTCGAACACATGAAAGAACTCACACTGGAGAGAAACCTTATGTGTGTAAAATATGTAGTAAAGCATTCAGGTATCTCAGTTACCTTCTAATCCATGAAAGAACTCACACTGGAGAGAAACCCTATGAATGTAAGGAGTGTGGAAAAGCCTTCAGTTACCACACAAACTTCCGAAGACACCTAACAGTGCACACTGTAGAGAAACCATATACAAGTATAGAATGTGGGAGGGGCTTCAGTCTTTCCCATTCCTTTCAAACACACAAAAGGGATCACTGGATAAAACCTCTTGAATGTAAACAGCATGGAAAAGACTTGAACTGGCTCTCACCCTTACATGTGAAATCTCCCATGGAAGAGAAATAAACATGTAAGTAAAATGAGAAAGCTTAGTAGAAATTAATCCAGCAAACTTTCAACATGAAAAAGTTCTTTTTGAAGTTGTAAATATATTGTGTTTACTAAACCTCTTAAAGTGCATTACTGGACCTTGGATTTCTACTAATTACCTTCAGAAATGAATATTCAGGTGAGATAATTCTGAGAGTTGTCTTTAAACAATAGTACATAAAATTAATAGTGTTTTTCTTACAATGTTTAATATGTTTCTCCATTTTGAGACCTGTTAGATCCATAGGTATTTAAAATGTGTTTCTTATATGAATTTAGATAATTCTTTTAATAATGTTTCATTGGCCCTGGCTGGTGTGGCTTAATGGATTGAGTGCAGCCTGCAAACCAAACAACCGCAGTTCAGTTCCCAGTCAGGGCACATGCCTGAGTTGCAGGCCAGTTCCCAGTGGGGGATGCATGAGAGGCAACCATACATTGATGTTTCTCTCCCTCTCTCCTTCCCTTCCCCTCTAAATAAAAATCTTTAAAAAATAATAATAATGTTTCATTGTTCTGTATTAAGGGGTCATTTAAAAAAGAAGTTTGGTAGTTTGATTTTCTTAGTGGCCTTGTACCAACTTGCACCAACCCTTTATATTTCTAGCTTATTTTATATATGTATAGATAGATGAGGGAAGACCCCAAAAAACCCGCAATCATCTTCTGGAGGGTGGGCCCCTTGTAATACAGGCTTCCCCCACTAGTGAATGTTCTAGGAACCTGTATCAGTGCACCAGCTAGCAGTGTGATAGGAAGTTGCATTAAGCTTCAGTGAATGTTTGTGAAGACTCATTAGGTTCATTTGCCCATTTCATGATGGGTGATTTACAAGTGCATTTGCCCACACCATGCTGAGTGTTCAGCAGTTTTTGACCAAATATGGCATGACGCCCATGGCCCATCCTCCTTATTCACCCAATCTCACCCCTGGTGACTTTTTGTTTGTTTGTTTCTATGGATGAAGAAAGTCCTCAAAGGGAAAAGTATGTGGATGTGGAAGAGGTGAAAAAAAACTGCAGAAGCACTAAAAGGCATCAAAATCAATGAATTCAAAAACTGTTTTGAGCAGTGGAAAAAACATCTTGAAAGGTGTATTGCGTCAAATGCAGAGGACTTTGAAGGTGACTGGAGTTTAAACATCAAAATAAGCCCTGGCTGGCATAGCTCAGTGGATTGAGCTCGGGCCTGCAAACCACATGATCGAGGTTCGATTCCCAGTCAGGGCACATGCCTGGGTTGCAGGCCAGTTCCCAGCAGGGGACACATGAGAGGCAACCACACATTGATGTTTCTCTCCTTCTCTCCTTCCCTTCCTCTCTAAAGATAAATAAATAAAATCTTTTAAAAAAAAACATCAAAATAAATACACAATTTTTTATAAGTAAATTCCAGGTTTTTCGGGTTCCCCTTTGTATCCTACCTTTCCCTCTGACAAAGCTCCTTTTTGAGGGTGATGGGTATAGAGGGTTTTTTTCTCCATGTTTATACTGATAAATATTTAGAATAAATTTTAAATATGGCAATTTTATGAAATTCTCATGTGAATGAATATTCTTTTTACATTTTTCCTTTGCTTTTTGTTTTTCCTTCTGACTGTTGTTTGGTGAATTGACTTTGGCGTACGAAGAGAAACCTGTAATAGGGCAACAAAATCTAAGGTTGGAAGTATGAGTAATGTTATCTTAACATTGGTTTCCAGAATCCATCTCCTTTATGGTTTTATGTTAGAATTCATTAATAGCCTCACTTGCATTAAATTTGGAAGGCAAAACAAAAAGGGCATTAATCAGATTTTGGAGCTACCATTTGGACAGATAGATACATAGGCACTTCAAGGACTCCATCTTCCAGACCATTTTTTTTTGATTCTTTGATTGTCAACCAAGACTAGCATCAAAACCTTCACCAACTGTCCCATATCCATTTTCTGAGAGGTGTAGCTTTCCACTGATATCTTCACAACATCCACATCAAAGATCCCTCCGTATGGATTTTTCTGTAAGCCCTCATGTCCACCAGAAAACTGAGTCAGACTTCATGCTCTTGTCTGTAAGATCTAATCTGTATAGGAAACACCTTACGCTGTGAACACTGCTGTCGAGTGCGCTTTCCTGACTCCATGATGTTTACAGTGTTGCCGCCTCTGCTGCGTGTGCAGTGGCTGCCTCGCCCCGGTGCTTCCGAGTGAGATCCAGCATCTCCCTCCTGTCGGGAGGCTGTGCGTGTTTCCTGTTACTTGTAGCTGCATGCAGTCCCTTGGTATGTTTTCAGTTATGTCTGACTGTATGTCACTAAAAGTATGTACATTTTTTGTTAAATGAACAAAAAATGGGTTTTCATTAAAAGAACTTCTGTGGGTTTTTCATAAAAAGACTAACTTTTCTCAGCCATGTGCTAGTAAATATTTTGGTTTTCATTTCCTGAAAGGATATGTTAAAATGTCTGATTATAATTAGGGATTTCCGAGTAAACTTCGTAATTTTCTGCATTTAAAATTATACATTACACATAGTTGGTTTTATCATTTGTTTTCAAATTCAGGTAAATTTTCCTCAGGCATATTTTGTTTTATTTTTTTATAGTTACAGTTTTTATTGTGACACTAATTTTCACTCACTCTTAATACCAAAACCTTAAGTCATGGTTTTTAGTGCTCCAGTGCCAGTGACCCGCAGGTGGAGCAGAACCGTGCCTGTAGTCAAAGAGGGGCGCAATGAATTCTAATGATAACAAGAGCCACACAGTGGCTTGACTGTGGGGTGTGGCATAAAAGGCTGCTCAGGCCTTTCACAGCATCTGGCCTGTGATAGATGGCTTGATGGCTCTTCAAGGCACCAGGACAGTTTTGTATATCGAATGCTGTGAGGAGATAAAGTCATGTTAGTGGTAATCCTAAACCTTATCACCAAGAAGGCAAAACATGGTAGTGGAGCTAAACTTAATTTGTAAGAAGCCCTAGTCAGTCATATGAGTAAGAAGAGAGAAATGTTGGTTATTTTTATGATTTAAAATTGTCACTTTTGCTCTGACTGGTGTGGCTCAGTGCTCTGGGCGTCATCCCACAGAGTGAAAGGTTGCCCATTGTCCCAGTCAGCACATGACTGGGTTGTGGGCACGGTCTCTGGTTGGGGGTGTGCGGGAGGCAGCAGATCAATGTTCTCTCCCACATCGATGTTTCTCTCCATTTCCTTCTACCTCCCTTACCTTCTCTCCAAAAATAAAATCTTTTTAAAAATGGGCATTTTTACTATTTTTGACAGGGTTACAAATTACATTTATTTTTGTCCTGGTCCATCATGGTCACTGACTACCTTTGAAGAAGGAAATATGTGACATTTCTTTCTTCAACAGGGTAAGACTTGGCCTTACAGAGACTGCAGGCCAGCTCCCAGTCCTCCAGAACAGCTGTGCCTTTAGTACTTACCAGCTAAACACTGATACGTTTCCTACCATATATTACACTACTTACCATAAGCACTTCAGTTAAAGTATTCACTTCTTAGTGTATTACATAATGTTTTTAATTTACTTTTATGACTCAACTGAGGCCTCTAAGTGCAGGTAAGTTGTGAGAGAACACAAACCTGGCAAGAGAGAAAGACAGGACCACTGGTCTAATCAGGCCTCTCTTGCTCAGAGGCCGTGCCCATGCTGTTAGTACCGCCATCCCTCACTGTCACGGTGCCCATGCTGTTAGTACCGCCATCCCTCACTGTCACGGTGCCCATGCTGTTAGTACCGCCATCCCTCACTGTCACGGTGCCCATGCTGTTAGTACCGCCATCCCTCACTGTCACGCACTTTAGAGCCGTCGTGCCCAATTCAGCACAAACAGTCGTCACCCTTAGGATTTGGACATAGTGACATAAGACATACATGTTCTTGCAGTCCTGATGCTTATTGGTTTTGGGGAAAAATAGTTAACAAATGGTAAAGCTTTAGTTTATCCGATGGGAATGTGGGCTTTGAAGAAAGTAAAAATGATGTGACATAATAGGGAGGGCAGGGTGTAAATATTTCCTTTCTATGAGGGTCAGAGCCTCTGAGTGAGGATGTCATTACTGGTGACATGTATTTGCACGTGTAATATATCTTAACCACTTTTTCGGGAAGCGCTTGGACACGGAAGTAAACAGAGGGTGGAACACAGACTTTCTGATTTCCTTAACAATCATGATTTCCCATAAAGATGAAGATGTAGCCACGGCCTGTCTTCATTTCTGTCATCACAGATTTTGTGTATATAACATGTGGTCGTGAGCTTGAACCTTGCTATCTGGAACTTGATTTTGGCCACAGATATTTGTGGTATTTTTCTGTGTTTGACGATGTAATTTAAGAGAGTTTTCGTTTATCTTTAAAAATTGAAATGTTACAGCATTTGCATTTTTCATGTTGCTTCTGTACACACTGACACCTTGTACACCCCATTAGTGCATGGAGTCCTCCCAGCTAGACAGTCATGTTCACCTGTGTGTTCTGGCACATCCCTAGTTTATGCGTAGGTTGGCATCTGCGCAGGTCTGCTGTGATTCCCCAGTGGATATGCCATAAAGAGATGGGGATGTGTAAAGGCAGCAATCCAAGGAACTACTGGGGTGTCTTTCACAGACAGGTGCCTCTCATTTTGAGTAATATAACTGAGTATAACAGGAGAGATGGGGGGAATTTTAAGATTTTATCTACTTTTAGAGAGAGGGGAAGGGAGGGAGAGAGAGGGAGAGAAACATCGAGGTGGAAGAGAATCATCAGTCTTTTTCGTCTTGCGTGTGTGCCAACCAGAGACCAGCCTGCAACCCAGACATGTGCCCTGACCAGGAACCCAACCAGCAACCTTTCGTTTTGTGGGTCGATGCCCAACTAACTAAGCCACCCAGGCCCAGGCAAAATGGGAAATTTTTAATTTCTTTTAATTAAATTTTAATTTTTTAATGCTTTTTTTTCTTGCAGGAGTATCTGGAAGACCTTTATTTCAGTGATCCACACAGCCCCACAGCCCATTTTGCTATTTACAGGATTCATTTTTGTGTACTCAGACCAGCAATTTCTATAAGGCTGGAAAATACAGTTAACAGCTTCAAGTTCTACTAAACAACAAGGGAAATATTTTTCATATTTTTAGAGTTAAATAACATCATGTGGAGGGGTTTTGTTCAGATCAGCACCACAAGGGTGCTATCCTGAGCTGAAGGCATACTTTCCATCACTTGATGGCGACATCACCATACATTAGTGAAAGTATACATACACATACACACACACACACGAGTAACACTGGCTTTCATATCCTGGGAGAATGTGAAGCCCTCTCAAACCCTGATTTTTTTTTTAAAGATTTTATTTCTTTCCAGACAGATGGGAAGGGAGGGAGAAAGAGAGGGAGAGAATCATCAGTGTGTGGTTGCTTCTCATGCACCCCCCACTGGGGACCTCCCTGCAACCCAGGCATGTGCCCTGACTGGGAATCGAACCAGTGACTCCCTAGTTCACAGGCTGGTGCTCAATCCACTGAGCCACACCAGCCAGGGTGAACCTTGATTTTGTGTGTTCACTTCTTTCCACAGCCGTGGGATCCTTCTGAGAAAAATTAAAGGTCTGTGAGGAAGATTTAGTCCCTGCTGGGTCTTCCTTGCAGCCCTGTCTTAAATGAGAAAAACACCCTCTAGGGTTACACTGCCCTCATCTCAGGAACATAACCAGGAGTGAAGTGACAGGGCTCCCAGAACCTGTCCCAGAGTTTAAACCAGGCTCCTTGGACAGATCTCTTGAGTGTACTGTGGTCCTGAAGCATAAAGGCGCATCCCATATGGTCTCTGCCTGGGGACACGTCCTTAGTCACAGGCACCAGCATCATTTCCTTCCATCGCCCCCACAGACCATCTCTGGCTCTTTGTTTTCAACTCAAGCCTACTTGTGACTGCTCACTTGGAAACATCAGAAATCCATGCATATCCCACTCTAGAAAATTTCTCTGAGCTGGGGAATTAATGGAGAGAATGACAGAGGCAGTTGGCAGAACCTGTGTCATAGGCCCATTCTACTACCTGCAGTGTCCGCAGCGATTGCCTGTTTATGAGATCTGCTTGCTTACTTTCACATGATACTTTAAAACTTACTGATGTTGAATGGGCAAACCAGACACTGAAGAACTGTCCAAGGACCAGTGACTCCCTTATCATCTCCCTACTCTCCTTAATAGAGAGGTGTCAGCTTACTATGATGCACCCAAGGGTCTCTAAACCACCCGTGGCAAATGAAACTACCCAAGGCATTCTGGCACCAAAAACCATTTTACTCAGCTGGTGCTGCCCACAGTTAGAAAAGTGCTGCTGGCATCTGGCGGGTCTTTGTGAGTGGAGCCCTGATTTCAGGGCCTGAGGTGATGACTCTCCACAGCCAACTTTCCCTCCTGTGCTGGGTCCTGAATGCTGGGTCCTCAGGCTTGCTAACCAGAGGCTCCTCATTGAAAATGTAATGATACTTGCAGGACAGAGCAAACACTGGCCCCTCTGGGATATCCAACTTATAGGAGGAATTGTGTTCCCATCACAATGATGATATCTGTTACAGAGGAGCCATGTCTTTAGATACAGGGGCCACTTTGTCCCTTGGAATCACATGAGTAACCGCAGAGTTCATGTACTTTAGAGAGAGGGTGCTGCCACCATGTCTGATGGAGCCCTCTGCAGAGATGCTGTGTTCCGTCCCTCATCCGGCCATCCCTGATCCAAGATTGGACCCAAGCATCAGATCCATTAGTCAAACTGCACAATTAGTCAATTGTGCTACCAGTAGAGAATTCCCTGGTCAAGAATCAAACCCATCTGAACATTTTACAAGTTTGTTTGGTTTTTTTTCTTCTTGCTCTTGCAGTGACCTATCTGTATGGCTCCACGTACAGCAACAACTCATTATCCAAGGTCTCCCCCTATGGCATAGAAAACTTTGAGAATAACTTACAGTACCCAAGTACAAATCAAGGCCACCCCAACTTTCCACATTTCCAATCAACTTTCCTTGATTTCCAAATCAAGGCCACCCCAACCTTAAACTGCAGAGTCTCATTTCATTGCTCAAGGTAATAAGTTGATTCAAATTGCTTACTACATATTTGTTCTGCTGGTATTAACTTAGGAGCCCACATGATTTGTAACAGGCCGGTAACCTAAACATTCCACAAACTTCAAGAGACTTCCCTCTCCTGCCATGAACTTTGTAAATACTTTGTTTAAGACATTAGATTTAATTCCCAATCTTTGGGACCAATTATATTTATCTGATTATCGGGCTTACTGGCCCCTAATAAGCAGAAGCCTTTCTACACTAGACATTTCTGTCAGAATGGTCTCTCCCACGGTCTGTGGTTTATTGCAGTAGCACAGCCGAGCCACCACCCTTACCTCTTCACTTCTGGGCCTGCCATGTAACATCACCTGGACAGCCCGTGCACCCTGCATGTCAGTGTTGCATTTTGGGCGTCCTCCTTTGAACCCCTCGGGGCCGTCCAACACAAATGTGCTTGCTGTTTTCCTACGATGCACTCATTCAGTCAGTGGCCTGTCAGTCACTGGGGCTGACCTGGGCACATCAGTAATGCCAATCAAGAAATGTGTAGAGCACTCAAAATACATGAAGCAATCACTTAATGCTTCAGCTGATATACTTGAAGGACAACTCTTTGCAGACATGGTATGACCAGTTGGCTTAGAACTACTTATCAGCTAGAGAGAGTTCTGTCCCCCTAAAGGGTTACTTGATGCATGTGGATAAAATGCACTGGCAAGGCTTCGCCCATAACACAACAAATGAGACAACATGTTAAAATAAACAATAACATTACTAAAATATTTGAACAGATTTTGGAACCATAATGACACTTTCCTGGATCTCTCCAACACCTGGGATGACTAGATTAGAATACCTTTTTGAAGATTTGTCTTATTAATTATAATATACTGCTTGCGCTTTCCACATTATTTTTTACTTGAGATTCAAGTTTTAACTAATGTCAATGAGATTTGGCATCACTCATTCAGGAATGAAAAAAAACCCTCAGGAATGAATGTTAATAAAGACACTGCCCTCATTTTAAATACTTGACTCCTAACAGGCTTCAGATACCAGCTCACCCTGCCTGGCCCACATGGGTAAACGAGTTATGAAGGTTGACACCTGCCCCTTTTCCTTTTGTGTCAGCAGGTAGGAGGATCAACCTTCAAACCTGCAACCTCTATCGCTACACACATTAAAAAGCCAACCCATTCTTTTCTGCACAAGCCACCAGGAGCAACTTACCCTTGCTTATTCTCCTTAGAAAGTACCTTTGATTTATAAACATTTTTCCTTTAACTTGATGCACATGGTTACATCAGTCCTCACATCAGATTCTACTTAGGGTAGGGTGTTAATTCTGCCCACAAAAAAAAACCTATGATAAAACAAAAGGTAACCTATCAAAATATGTCTTGCTTGACAAATACATGTTCAGAGTAGGGAATTGTCATAAGATGAGATAAGATCCAAATGCAGAGATCCCAGAATCATAACCAAACCCAGGCTCAGCTGTCTGCTGCAATGAAAGCCAAACTCGTGAGACAGGTACCGATGGAAAAGGAAGGAGGTTTATTCAGGTGCTGGTGACCCAAAAAGATGGAGGGTCTCTCATCCCAAAGACCATCTTAACAGTTCTCGCCAAACCAGCAAATTTTATAGGGCTAAAAGCGGGGGAGTAAAGACTGTCGTCGGGCAGGACATGTAGGACCTGCAGAACGTGTAGGATGTCTTTCTTAGGCCTTGACATGGATCTTCACTGCCAGCATCCTTAGTTGGCCATCTGGTTTTTGTCAGCTGAATTCCTGTGACTGTGCGGTCCACATTAGCTGGGACCTTGAGGTCAGGCTGCCTCCTACACTATTATGGTTTTGCTGGAAAGAGCACTTCTGCGTATCATCATCTTAGTCTGCAGCCTATGTGCACCAAAAGTTGGCTGGAAGCAGCCCTGAGAAATGCATGAGGTCAGCACTACTGTGGTCTAAGTTGTCATGCTTTTATCCTCGTGCCTGAGCTCTAAATTCCCAGTGGTTTTCTAGACCGTAATCAGACACAGAGAGAAAGGAATAATTGAGACTGTGACAAATTTCAAAGTAAAAAGCAGAGCTTCCCCACAAAAATATTTTTATTCCGTCAGCTGCCTCTGATTAGAAGCATACCTCAGAGATGTTACAGGTTTGGTTCCAGACCATCGGATAAAGTGAATGTCTCCATGAAGAAAGTGACAAGAATTTTCTGGTTTCCTGGTGTATAAACAAGTTCTGTTTACACTGCTGCAGCCTGTTAAGTGTGAAATACCATTTTGTCTAAAAGATTAGTGTGTATGTATTATTTGAGCCTTCAGTGAGTCACAAACTTACTGCTGGTGGAGACCCTTGTATCTGTACTGATGAAAATGCATTATCTGCCAAGCACAATAAAGTGAAGCTCAGTAAAATGAGGTATATCTCTACTTCTAATGGCCTGGAGGACTCCAGGGCAATATGGCCAGCTAAGCTTCGTTCCAAGTTGGCTTTCCACAGGCCTCATGCGCTGTTTGTATTTGGGGATGGGAATAGAAGAAAAGACTTCTAATTTTTCACTGTTTTAAGTCACAGAAACCTCACATAGATGTTACTGCCTGTTTAATGAAGTGATAAAAATGGTGGGTAATAAGGAGATGAAAGAATTTTTCCCAAAGCAATTGATGTTTTTTAAATAAATAATCTTTGTTTTATTTGTATAGCATTTCTGATATTTTCTTTTTTTTCAATTACGGTTTATATTCAATATTATATAGCACTGGTTTCAGGTGTACAGCATAGCAGTTACACAATCATGTGGCTTCCCAAGTGCTCTCTCTATTCGTCCAGTACCTGCCTGGCAACATACTTAGTTATCACAACATTAGTGACTACACTGCCTGTGTTATACTTTACATCCTCATGACTGTTTTGTAACTACCAATTTGTACTTCTTAATCCCCTCACCTTTTTCACTCAGCCCCCCAGGCCCCCATCTGCCAACCATCAGTCTGTTTTCTGCATCTACGGTTTTGTTTCTATTTTGTTTGTGTGTTTTGTTCTTTAGATTCCATGTGTAAGTGAAATATATGGTATTTCTCTTTCTCTACCTGACTTGTTTCACTTAGCATAGTACCCTCTAGGTCCATCCATGCTGTCCCAAATGGTAAGACTTCATTCTTTTTGTTTATGGCCGAGTAATAATATCCTATCATATATACAAACCACAACTTTTTAATACACTTGTCTGTGGTCTGTCATTTTCCAGTATTTTCTGAACCTTACAATTAGAAAAATAGGATATAATGTTATCACAGTAAAAATGTGTTGATAATTCCCATGTGTTTATGATGTTGTTACATTAGTAAAGAGTGTAAAAAGAAAGTAAATTTCTGATTATTATAGAATAAATGCTTAGAAAGAGGGGAATCATATATAACCTTCCTATAAGTCGAGTCTAGATGTCCCATGCTATCAGTCTTACAAATCACATATTTGGGGTTTTTTGGACTTGGTGGCCTTTGAGGATGTGGCTGTGAGCTTCACCCTGAAGGAGTGAGCTATCCTAGATCCTCCACAGAAGAAACTCTATAGAGATGTGATGTGGAAACTTTCAGGAACCTGGCCTCCATAGGTAAGGATGACAACTAATCTCCTTGTTAATTAGAGGACAGTGTTTCTTACCCATCAGAGTTGTTCTAACATGTGTAATGTAGGAAGGGAGGACATTGGTAAACAAACTGGGCATAGTCACAGTTCATCATAGAACTAGAAATTAATGATATTTCTAGAATTTCTAAAATTTTGGAATCATTGTTCTGGGTCTACATTTTAGGTAAATAATGGGAAAATCATAACATTGGAGATCAGCTCAAAAACAAGTGAAAAAAATAACGTGAGTCCCACTCACAATAGAAAGATTGTCTCACATGAGAAACCTGGTACACAACAAAGTTTTAAAAAGAAGCAACCAAAACAATACACGCTCCAAATTTACTACTTTTGAGAAAATTTTCATCGAATTACTTTCCTATAAGACATATATATTGAGCCTTGGTTGGTGTGTCTCAGTGGATTGAGTGCCAGCCTGTGAACCAAAGGGTCACCGGTTTGATTCCCAATCAGGGCACATGCCTCCGTCACTGGCCAGGTCTCCAGTAGAGAGCATGTGATAGGTAACCACACATTGATGTTTCTCTCCCTCTCTTTCTCCCTTCCTTCCCCTCTCTAAACATAAATAAATAAAATACTTTTTAAGATATATGTTCAGCGTTATAAAATAGTTCATATGGAAACACCATTATTACACCCTGTAATTACTATCACTGTTTTGATAACAGCGAGGCCGAAGTCTTGCAGAACATTCAGTGTATTCAATGTCAAACAATTTGGATAAGAGAGAAAACCTACACTTTGCTATAAAACATCCAATGTAGTTCAAATATTCTAATTAATATAAAATCACTAATAGAGAAATTATAAATAATATGCTTCATGTTTTTTTTGAATCCACACCAAAAGGTATGTTTTATTGATTTGAGAGAGAGAGAGAGGAAGGGGGAGAGAAAAGAGAGAAAGAAACATTGATTTGTTGAGAGAGAGTGATTCATTGCTGTACCTATTTATGCATTCACTGGTTGATTCTTATGTGTGCCCTGATTGGGGATTATAACCTGCAGCCTTGGTGTATCAGGATGATGCTACCCAGCCAGAGCCTGGTGAGGTCAGTTCTAAATGGATTTATAAACAAGGTTCACAGTTCTGGGAGTGGCCTTGCATCTTACGCCAACCTCTAACCCAGAATGACCCCAGACACCCTTGTCCCAGCCTGGCTTGGCCTGGATGCCCCTCTTGCTCAAGAAAAGGGGGTCACTCCACCTGGAAACTGAGTCTGATATTCCCTTCACACACCTGTGTCCTCACATTTACAAAGAGGGGCAGAAAGATTCTAGTGTCCCTCTAGGACCAGGACAAAGTGTTGTTAAAAGCAAGCAGCTTTGAAGTCAGAGAAAGACAGTTACCATATGATTTCACTGGTGGGATCTAATGAACAAACTGAACTAACAAGGAAAATAGAGACAGACTCACAGAGAGCATGTTGACAACTCTGCGGGGCCTTGGGCGGGGGAGTGACGGGGAGAATCCAGCAAAAAGTAAAGGAAAAAAAGAATAGTCATAGACACGGACAAGTATGAAGATTGAGGGGCGGGGGTGGTGGAAGAGGGTATAGGGAGGGATAAATGGTAATGGAAAAATACAATAAAATAAATAAAATTAAAAATAATTTTAAAAAGTAAACAACTTTGAAGGGGACAGGTCGTGCCAACCGACGGAAGATGGTTCTGTGGAGCCACTCACCTGTAACCCGCAGCGTCGCTCAGGCAGAACTGTCCAATCAGGGGCTCAGCAGAGCAGGTGGGTGGGGCCGCGTTCGGCAAACCGGGGGCGCTCGTGGCCGCGCCGGCGTTCGCCTCACCGCCGTGCTCAAACGTCTGAACCGTCTCTGAACCGGCGTTACCTGCACTGGCCCCCGGAGCCGTACGAAGCCGGGGGACCGGAGAAGCCCGGAAATGGTGAGTGTGAGTGGCCGGATGTCCTCACACGGGAGGAGGGGCTGGTTGCTACTGGTCTTGGAGAGACCCGCTAGGAGTCTGCAGACCCGCGTTGGGCGGGGCCTCTGCGAGGATCTCGGTCCCCACTGGCTCGCGTCGTGGGGGCTGGGCCGGCAGCCCGGATCCCCAGGTCCTGTCTGAGCGGCGACTTCGCCCCGGACCCTCCCTGGGAAGCTCTGCACCCGCAGCCCCTCGTCTCCCCAGACTGTTCGGTGACCATAGCGACGGTCCTCCGGTATAATTGTGATTCTGTCTCCGGGGTTTCGTGCAAGAGAGGACCTCTCGTCTGTAGTCCCCAGTCCCTTCTTTCTTCTCAAGGGAACCTGAAGTTTTCAAAATGTTTGAGGAGCAGGGTCCCAAATCCACGACCCTTTCCCTCCAGCTAGCTCTTCCGGGGACCGGCAATAAACCTATAAGTTTTCATGTTTCTGTCCACGTTCTTAGATGCCGCCTTTTGGTCTCCGATTCGCAGAATCAACTGTTTCTCTTCCAGCGTGCATTTATTTCTAACAGATGTATTTTGATTGTTTATCATTTTTCCACATGGCTCATTTTAAATATTTAAATTTTGTGTGTTAAAATTGTTTTACATGAGAGAAAAACTGGGAGGTTAACTACCTGGAATAAGTTGTGTGAAATCCACGTTCCTCTCCCCCAATAGCTTCCCTGGGCACAGACATCCTCTAGGAAGCTCTTTGGGTGGAGGTTCCTCCTTGGAAACTTTTCTGGGTGTTCTCTCCTGTGGGCACTGCCCCTTCCTGAGTCTGTCACCTTTAAAAGACTTACTTTGTTTTTGGTATTACATTAAAATGTATTTAATCAATAGCTCTTGAAAGGTGATGTGAAGTAGTATTTTCAAAGAGGCATGAGAGGTAAATTTCAGGAAAAAAACAAAATATTTCAGTATTACATTGAATGTGTTTAAACTTTTGTTCCTCATTTTTCTCCCCTGAGCAGGAGTAGTACTATTCTAAAGTCTTCATTTTCTTTTTTGTTTGGGAGGTTTCGGGGTGATTTCAAGTGGAATTCCAAGGCTTAGACTTGAACATCAGAAGTATTTGGGTATGCTTAACTATTTGCCTTCCTGTCATGGAAATAATAATATAATTATTTTCTGAAGGTAATAAATATTTGTGGTTTTTCTTGTTGAACTAGAAATATGACTTACAGTTTTCTTCTTTCATTTACACATAAACATTGGCATTGTATGAGTTTTCAGGGTTCTTCAAACACTGGGCTTTATGTCATTTAAAATATCCACGTGGTCCAAAGCAGTGTGATGAAGAGCTGAAGCCTAAGGTCAGTGACCCAGCTAAGGCCCCATGACCTGCAAAGGGAAGTAGCTGAAGGCCCAGTTGTTTCTGGGGAGCCTCCCCTGTAGGAGTCCTTCTTGCTCACGCCGACCATGGAAGGAGCCTGTGCCCTGGGAGAAGCTGGGATGCAGGTGCATGTGGTAGGGAAGGCAGGTAGCACTCCTGAGGTTTTAGTTGTGGCTCGCCTGGGCTTGTTTCTAGGCATAGGATGGAGTTTTGCAGCCGCAGTGAGGTGCACTCGGTGTAATTCATGCACATTGAGAAAGTCTGAAAGTCAGGAGCCTGTGTCCTGGGTAAGGTTTGTGAATTTGGGAGTTCATTGGGCTCAATCTGACACTGCATCCAATTGAGATAAAGCCTGAAAGAGGAGGGTGTCCGAGCTCCCAGAGTTCAATCCCACGACCACTGGGCTGTTGCTCCCCTTTGTCTCCAGGGACTGTCTCCAGAGCCCCTACTTCAGGGGCTCTGTCTCAACCTGGAGAGGCTAGAATGTAGAACCTTCTGAACCTTCTAAAAGGGGCTCTTCTTCTGCCCTGTGGGAAGCAGGCTGCTCATCAGAGCTGATTCCAATACTGCATTTCCTTTGGATCCTTTATCCACTGGATAGTGCAGCCCTTTGGCTCCAGTTTCCTTGAGCACTTTGTAATTTTATTCCCTGTGTGTGAAATAACATTTTTAATTTTCTGTGATTCAAAATGAAAGTGGATTAAGAGAGATGATACTGTTAAGGCAAGTAAATAGTGAAACTAAACAATTGTTGTTTCTTTTAGGCAAGAGAACTTCAAGATATGAGATGAGTATTTAAACTCTCAGGTCAATTTTCATTTTGACGTCATCAGTGTTTGTGCCTGGGTATCCCTAGAGACCATTGAACTATAAAAGGCAAAAGTAATTGAATTTCTATTTCAAGTCCATGAAGAAAACTACTTAACACTTATGTAAATCTCTGAAAATCCTTCTACATGTAAGCAGCTAAAACCAAATGCCTATTGCAGCATAATATGCCTTTTATTCCTGAAAAGACACCCGTGTGAGATAAGGGTGGGGGACAAAGTAGGATGACTGTAACTTGTCCTTTTAGTTAGCAAGAGATTTGTACATTTTAATTTTCAGTGGTTTGTGCTTTTGTAACCATTATAGTTTAAAGGAATTAAATCTTAGAATGGCTTCCTATGTAAAATAAAATTAAGGAAAGACTACTAGACAGTAAAACATGGTATATATAAATTTCTTTGTTTATCTTAAATAAATCTGTAAGATAGAGAAGTCTAACTTTAGAAGACTCATTGCCCACATGTCTGGTTCCTCCAGAAATGTCACTCCAGCCACCCTACAATACACAGGTTTTTATTATTTCTTGAGCCTTCTCTTGCTATTTCCTTTTATAAAAACAACACATCACAAATGCATATTGTTCTTACCCATCTATCTTTTTGTAGTGAACAGTCAGACTCCACACTGTCTGGTGTTTGCTGACAGCTTAGACCTCCCTATCCTCACCTGGACAGATGGATGAGAAAGTCCCAGGCTCCCTCCCCTGGCACTGGCTTCAGATTCCAACCACAAAAGCCCTTCTGTGTGCAGAACTCTCACCCTGGCCTTGCCCCTGACAAAGATTCTTTGCTTGACCAAACTTTGTCAGGCTCCTGAATCTTCTCCCAGGCCTGTCTTTATAATTCCTTGCAAAATCCAGTTGGGTGATGCAGAATCCCCCACCCTCCTATCTGACCAGGTTCCTCCTCCTCCACTGTCAGGTGGTGTCTGGTTACCCTGGCCTGTGTGCACCAAGAATCCTGTTAGGTTGGTTTAGCAGGAACCCTGATTCTTCTGGTTCTTCTCTAAGTACTTTTCCATCCACTGACCCTCACCCTGGTCTCTGGTCAGGAAGTCCCACTTGTCCATGCTCTCTGTACTCAGAATGAAGCCCAAGCTCATTTTTCTCCATTGTAAAATCCCACCACAATGGTCTCTGTAAGTCGGCGTGGTTCTGAAGAAAATCTGCCTGACCATCAGTGAGTATTTTATTTTCTGTAACACCAAGTTACCACAGTAAAAACCCAGGCCATTTTTTAAACTCTCTCAAGTCATTTGAGAGCTGCTTGAATAGCTTGCCCTGCCCTCTCAGAGACCTCTGTTATGTGAAATCCAAGCCTTTTCCTATCCTCTCAGCCACACCAGTACTGGTCTTGGTATCAGAACAATCCCTCAACAGGTGACCATGACAGTTGGTTCCATGAGCGGCATGGGCACGCCCCTGGACTGTCTTCACTTGCTCAGACTTGCTTACCTGCTATGCTGCCTGATGGTGTCCTGCCCTGGGAGGTGTTGCTGAGCCTGCCGTGCCTCAGTTCCATGTGCAGCTGACCAGAGTGGGCAGTTTTGAAAATTTCTAAGCATTTGGGAGCAGGCGTATGAGATTGGGACCCTCCTTAAGATGGTCCTGGATCGATGTTTTGCTGGGATTTATCTGTGTGTTTGAGTGAAGCTATGGCCAAGGCTCGGATGGCTCCAATATATCCTGGTGGTAAAGGTGGGAAATTAAGACTATAACCCTGTGCAAGAGGTGGACCCATCGAGTGGTCACTTCTTAAACGTTTGGGTAGGGCAAGGTCTCAGGGTTAGCCAGGTTGATGGAGACCCGGATATGGCCACCTGCAGGCTCTATGGGGACGAGTCTCAGCAAAGGAACAAAGACATCTGCCAGCACTTCTGTCTCTAAGAAAGCTGCCGCTCCAGCTCACCTCAAATCCAGACAATTAATTTCCTCCCCATATGTTCCCGGTGCCTTTCAAGCTGCTGCCCCAGCACTAGAGCTCAGAGAGAGTGAATTGGAGTAAATCTATGCCCTTTAAGAGAAATGCCTGGGACTCCAGAAGCCCTCTGTCTCCCTCAGCCATACTTCCACTGGCTTTCTCAGTCAGCCCTCGATCCTCAGTGGGGACTTCTGCAGCCGAGAGAGCCCTTCTGAGTTTTAACCACCACGCGTGGGTAAGGGAACAGCTCATTGTGCATTTCCACCCCTTCCCAGTCTCAATGTGGCTTCTTTTTTCTATCTTTAGTCGTAGGACTTCTGTTCAGCACCTTGTGGGTGGTTCTCAGTGATGGTTGTTCTGTACAATAGTGGTAACTTTGATGTGTTGGTGGGAGGATGCGAGTATAGAATTTACCTACTTCACCATCTTGACTGGAAGTCATCTTGGGTTGAAAGTCTTAAAATGATAATACTTGTTTCATTTCCATAGCATTTGTCATTTCCCATCATACTCTAAATTGTGCCATAGAGAAAAATAGGATGCAGTGTGATCACTTAAAAATGTATTAATTTTCATGGGTTTATGATAAGGTAAAATTTATAAGGAAGTAAATATGAACAGAAGATATGTTGTTTTTTTTTACTGAAACAATAGAATGAATATTTGGAGACAACAGGAGACATATGATTAGGAAACAATCATATGGAACCTTTCTGTAAATGGGGTCTGAGTGTCCGGGGCTGTGTCACTCATTGTACTGTGCACATATTCGGGCTGTTTCAGGACTCAGTGGCCTTTGAGGATGTGGCTGTGCACTTCAGTCTGGAGGAGTTGGTCTTACTGCAGCCTGCACAGAAGAAGATCTACAGAGATGTGAGTGGGGAACCTTCAGGAACCTGGCCTCAGTCGGTAAGTGACAAGTTGTCTTCACCTTGTTAGTCAGAAGACAGGTGTTTCTTGTCCATCAAAGTTGTTCTAACATGTGTAATATTGGAAGGGAGGACACTGGTAAATAAACTGAGCACAGTCACAGCCCATCATAGAACTAGAACTGATCATTTTTCTATAATCTCTACTATTTGGGAATAAATTTTCTGGGTCTGTGTTTTAGGAAAGAAGTGGGAAGATGATGACATTGAAGATCAGTACAAACACCAGGGGAGAAGACAAAGGTAAGTCACACTCACAACAGAAAGCAGCCTCTAACGTGAGAAGCCTGTTATGCTACCACTTCTCAGAAAATTTCCACCAAATTACTTTCTTATATACAACAAAGGGATTTGGTGTTTGAAAACAAGTTCTAATGAAACACAGCATTAATAGACCCTATATATAAATATCACTGTTTTGATAATAGCAGGGCTGAAGTCTTCTTGCAGAGTACTCAGTATATTCAATTTCAAGCCATTCAGACAAGGCAGAAAACCTTTTTTTTTTTTTTTGCTATAAACCATAGAAATTTAGTTCAAATGTTCTAATAACTATGACAACCCTAAATAAATCATGAATAATGTGCTTTTTGTTGTTTTCCAGAAGTCATGTGGTAGAGCGAATCCGTGATGGGAAAGAGGGTACTCAGTGTGGAGACAACTTCAGCCTTATTTCAAATCTCAATCTGAACAAGAAATCTCTTGGAGGAAAACCATGTGAAGAAAACAGCATGTGGAAAGCCTTCATACAGCAGTTGTCTCCACTGGAATATCAGAGGTCACACTGGACACAAGCCATATGGAGAACAGCCACATAACTGGTCTGCAGTGTACTGGAAAACATGAAAGAAATCACAATGGAGATAAACCTTATGAACATAATATATATGGTGAAGCCTTCAGTATCAGGCATTTTCAAGTAGATGAAACCAAAGAAAATCTTAAGTATAAGGCATGTGGGATAGCATCTAGTGATCTCTCAGTCCTTCCAGCACACATGGTCACTCACTGTGGAGACGGACTTCATAAATGCAAGGAAAATGAGAAAGCATCCGTTTCTCCCAGTTCATTTAAAATTCGTGAAAGGAGTCACACTGGAAAGAAACTCTATGAATGTAAACAGTGCAGCAAAGCCTACAGACATCACAGTTCCCTACAAACACACAAGAGAAGTCATTCTGGAGAGAAACCCTACGAATGTAAAATATGTAGAAAAGCATTCACTTGTCTCAGTTATCTTCGAAAATGTGAAAGGATTCACACAGGAAAGAAACCCTACGAGTGTAAGCAATGTGGCAAAGCCTTCAAATACTATACAGTTCCTTAGAAGCACACAAAGTGAGTCACACAGGAGAGAAATTCTATGAATGTGAGGCATGTGGTAAAGCTTACAGTGGTCCCACTGCCTTGAAAAAACACAGAAGAACTCATACAAGAGAGAAACCCTATGAATGTAAAAAATGTGGAGCAGCCTTTGGATATCACAGTTCCTTAAAAACACATGAAAGAAATCACAGTGGAGAGAAACCCTATGAATGTAAAACATTGGAAACATTGTAAAACATTCCAATCACAGAGGAAAAGAATTCACTCGTCTTAATTATCTTCGAAGACATAGAAGGATTCACACGGGAGAAATCCTATGAATGTAAAGTACATGGGAAAGGTTACAGTGATTAGAATTCTTTAAAAGCACATGAGAGAAGTCACACTGGAGAAAGACCCTATGAGTGTAAAACATGTGGTAAAGCATTCGGTAGTCCCAGTTACCTGTGAAGACATCAAAGAAATCACACTGAAGAGAAACCTTATGAATATAGAGGACGTAGTAAAGCCAGATATTATACTACCTTAGAATCACACAAATAGATTTACACAGGAGAGAAACCTATGAATGTAAACAATGTGGTAAAAGTTATAGATATCACAGTTCCTTACACATGAAAGAACTCACACTGGAGAGAAACCCTATGAATGTAAAACATGTGGAAAAGAATTCAGTTGTCTCAGTTATCTTTGAAAACATGAACAGACTCACACATGAAGGAAACCCTATAAATGTAAGCAATGTGGTAAAGCTTTCCTTTCTCTACAAGATTTCCAAGGACATGAAAGATATCACATTGGAGAAGAAACTATAAATGTAAGAAATGTGGGAAAGCCTTAACTTTACACACAAACTATTGAATACAGTGAGCATGCACTATCCTTGCCCATCCTGATTTTACTTTAGGAGCAGAGAGGTCTCTTTGCAAGTCCAACGTTTTTCCCAAGAGGAAACATCAAAAAGGGGTGTGGCTTCCAAAGGTATTCATCCAAGTTTTAATTTGATTGTACCAGGTGACCTGTAGGGAGAGGGTATCATTTTGCATAATAATCCTAATTTAACATAAAAGGAGTGGTGGGAAATTTTCAGATACACTATAGCTAAATGTAGGAAAGCCTTCTGTCATTCCAGTTCCTTCCAAAGGCATGAAAGGACTCATTGGATAAAACCTTTTGAGTATGAACAGTGTTGGAAGAGCTTCAATTTGCATATATCCTTACATGTGAAAAATCTCAGGGAAAAGAGAGAAAGCTATATGACATGAAAAATCTTGATGGAAATTAATCCATGTATAATGTTCCAAATTTCAACATGGAAGAATTAGTCTTAAAGTTGTATGTATGTAGTGTTTATCAAGCTTGTTTTGTGAAGTATATCATTGCAATGTAGATTTCGTGTTGGTTTTATTTATTTTCAGAGAAAGGGGAAGGGAAGGAGAGAGGGAGGGAGGAATACATCAATGTGTGGTTGCCTCTCGCACACCCCCCAACAGGGACCTGGTCTGAAACCCAGGCATGTGCTCCGACTGGGAATTGAACCAGCAAGTCTTTGGTCTACAAGCCCATGCTCAATCCATTGAGCCACACCAGCAAGGGCACAATGTAGATTTCTAAATAAGAAAAAAATACTGAGGTGAGATAACTCTGGGAGTTATCTTGCAGTGTTAGTCCATAAGATTACTAGACAGTGCTTTTTCCTTAAATAAGTTAATATTTTCCTAACATTTTTGAAGCCTATTAGATCTCTGGGTGAACTGAAGTGTATTTTAATGTATAGTTAGGTGAAACTTTTTATACTGCTTTGTTTGTCCTCTGTGAAGGGGTCGTTGGAAAAGGCCAGTTCGGCATTTGCTGGGATTTTCCTACTGTCTTTGTGACAGTTCCTGGACATCCTTTGTCCCTTAACTATATGGCTCAATGAAATCACACTGAAGAGAAACCTGGGATAAGACACTGAGATTTGGATGTGAGGCATGAAACAAACAAGTTCCTCCAATCCTGGCACTTATACTTTTGTGAGAATAGAGAGGTGAATAGCAAACCATAAAGCTTTGTTTTGTGATATGGTACTAAGAGCTTTGGAGGAAAGTGAGAAATGACATGTGACATAACAGGGAGTCACGGGTGTATATATTCTTACATGAGGGTACAGCCTCGTGAGTAAGGATATCATCATTAACCACTTGTATTTCCGTAATCTAAAAAATGTTAAAAACTGTTTCAGGAACCACTAGGGTGTGAAAGTAAGTAGAAGGTGGCAATACAGAATGCCCTGCTCTTTGATAAATGATAGTGATTCCCAATAAAGATATGGACATGGTTCCTCATCATTTTTGCCATCATTGCAAATTTTGTATCTGGGTTATGTGGTTGTGACTTAGGACATTGTTGTTTGGAACTCACGGCTTTGTATTGATTTGAATCACAGATATTTGTGGTGTACTTTTACATTGAACATTGAAAGGATTTTTCATTTATCTTCAAATCTGAAAACGTTGAAGTATTCGGCATTTTCATTTTGCTGCTCTACACACTGAGTGACACACACCAAGGAGTCCTCCCAATTGGAGAGTTACCTTCTTCTGCACTGCTCTCGCCCCTCTCGAGTTCATTCCACAGCACAGACCCTACACCCACACCCAGGACAGGTTCAGGTTCAGATAAGAAGGGATCAGGTATTTGAGACACCCTGCACTAGGGCTGAGGTCATGCACCTTGGGGTCTTCAAAGGGTCCTTACAGGGTGAGAAGAAGAGCAGATGTTTAGTAAATAGAAGGTTGCCCTGCTATATAGGTGGGTCAAAAGGAGGTTATTGCTGATCATCTTTTCTTATGGCCAAAGCCTCTAATTCAAGTTCTTCTGGGTAGTTGAAGGGAGAGGCAGAAGCTTCTCTTGAGCCTGCTGGTAAGTGTCTTGAGTTCAAAACTTCCTGCACACCATTGTGGCACAGCCTGCAGCGGCTTGTTCTGAACCCACACAGGATGGTGCGCCCTGAGAAAAGGTGTGCATACACTAAGCCTCGCTGTTATGTCAAATGTCATTTCTGACTCGCCTTCAAAGCCCTTATTTCCGTCTTACAGACAAAAGCTCTGCTCCCAGATGCTTTCTATGAATGCTGGACTGCCCTGGCTGTCACCATGCTTGAAGTGACCACAGGATTTCAGCACCAAAAAGGGACAAAAAGGACTCTGGAACCCACTTGAAATTTCAACCAAGGCTCAAAGAAATCTATTCTACAGTGTGGATCTTAATAATGCTTGTGAAGAAATAAATTTGTTTCTGCTTCACACAAAGGAGTCTGTCCTTGTCAATGAACCATTTGTCTTCACTTCATGATAAAAGGAGAATTGGGCTGCGTGGTAGTGCTTGACTTTTTTGTCCTGGAGATGAATCTGAGCTCCCTGATGCCTGCCACTGTGAGTTGAACAGTCCATGTAGCTCCCCTAAGTCTCAGTTGCCTCCTTCAACAGGGGAGAGAGCCCAGCAGTGCTTCCATGTTTAGAAGTCTAAGAAGATGAAGAGAAATGAGCCAATCCATACATGGTGCCAAGTGCCTTACAGTTACTAAGCCCTTCCAATGTGCATTTTGAATTACTATAAGAATGACTGTTCCTTTCTCATCGTCATTATCATTTTAGACTTAAAAGCAGAACTCCTCTTGATGGAATCTACAACATTCTACCTTACTTAGGAATCTTGAAGTGTGAGAAACTGGCCTGTAAAACTACTGAAAAGTAACCCTTTTAATAAGGTTCCGTGATGCCTGTTTTGTTCTCGTTATGGGTGCTTATTTGCCATACTTCCAAATCTTTAACATAAATGCTGAGATGATTATTTATGGCAATTCATGCCTTCCCCACAAGACAGAACAATTTGGTTGGTTCTTTCTCCCACTATTACTTCAAACATTACGTTAATATTTTAGCAGACCATGACAAAAAAAGTATTTTTAAGTACAAACATGAATCTTGATGCTTTGCCACTTACAGTTACTTCATGCTTTCAACCACAGAAAGGATCAATTTCTTATTCTTTTTCAGAGCCAAGAGCACCTTCCAGAACTTTGGGTAATTTATTCCATTACAGTCACTTCCCAAGATCATGATGAAAAAATCTCCCTCTCCATGCATTCAAAGGACTCCCTGAGCTCCTTTGGTGGAGCACTTTGCCTGAGAGGACCACCTTGCAGATGTCTTGAATCCTCACGGGTTTCTGTGGAGTGGGTGGATGCACCAACACTCGAAGTGTATTCTGGCCCTTGTATTCCCATGATGAGAATCACAGGAACCACCTCCTCTTACCAAACACAATTTTAAGATGTCATGTCTACAGTGATGACCATAGTGACTAAAGGACTTTTTTTTTCCTTTGAGAATTTTTATAAGCGTTTATTTGAGCCAAAGTGAGGGCAGTGTAGGAAAGCAAGATTTCCAATGTTGCTAAAGAACCTTTGACAAGCAGAGCAACCACGGCCACCAGTGCAGGAAGCACATCAGCATTTTCTGCCCAGGGAGGGCTGCTGCTGGACTGTTCAGTTCCCACAGGTACAAATAGAAGTGGGCTGTGGAAGGGCAGGAATGAAAGGTGATTTCCTCAGCATCATGTGTCTGAAGTTCAACAGTGTGAGAGAGGAGACCAGACTTATGCAACTTCCCCAGTGAACACACATTCTTAGAACAGAAGGTCCTTTGTTTGAAGCGAAGATGAAGAGTTAGGAGATAAAACAAAGCAAAACAAAAAAATCAGAGGTATTTTCGACATTAGAAAATCAGACTAATTTCCAGTAAAACTGCTTTGAGGATTTTGTTTCCAGATAGCTGTTAAAAGGAGGATGAAAAAATGAGTGTGAAACAGAAATCTCTTCCCCGTTTCTCAATTCTTTATGTTGACTAGCCACAGACTTTCCCTCCCACCCTGTAGGGTGACACACAGGGATGCTGCTGCTCCCACCATGGCCCACCTTGTGTGAGGAGTCCTGGTTGCAGCCTGAGCCCTCCTCGTCTCTCTCCACTGAGACCACCTGTGGCTCTTTGGCTCTGCCCGTCGGGCTCCACGTGTCTGATGGCCTCCAGGCATGATGAGTTATTGCTGCAGTTTGGGTGGACTTGTGTGGGGCTGTTTGTCTCTGAGACAACTAAAGACGAGCATTTCTCAGGGAATGGAGAGGAGATGGTCAGAAAGTATCTGTGCCTACTATAAGGAGGGTGCCAGGCGGGGGGGGAAGTTATCCTTGTGAGAGTAAACAATATGCTAGCATCACCAACTCACCTATTGGGGATTATTGTTTAGACCAAACCCAGTTTTCTGGTAAGTCTCATTATTTAGTGATGAAATAGTGTTACCAAAAGTAAGGGATGGCTGAGGACCTCGCAGAGTCCCTCAATCACCATTGAGGAAACATACCCACCTGCTTGTATGCTCTATGACTTAGGAAATTTTTCATGTAAAGTTAGCTATTCTAAATACCCAAAAGTCATTCCACCGCCCCCCGCCCTCCGCCCAGAAATGATGGCTTGTTCTTGGGTTCAGGGCAATTTTCTGGAGTCTGACTGACGTTCTGGAATGATCCCCGTGGCTCGCATCCCTGGTATCTGAGTCTGTGCATCTTTTTTGGCAAAACCACACGTCAGACTCCAGTTGCGAACAAAGATCGAAATAGAGCCATATTAACTATTGCATGCAATGAGGTGTCTTTAGTGTCTGTGTTTGCAAGGAAGGATCACAGTTGCCTGGTGGACTTTCGGCCCTAAGTTTTCGGTGCACAGGTCCCTGCACGGGATGAGTTTTAGCTGTTTGGGGCACCGGGGACTGTAACTCAGGCACTGGGAGCGTTGCCTTGGGAACTGTCCATCAGCTCTGGAGCTCGGGGGTAGGTGGGCGGGACTAGGCGGCAGCAGCCGCCCGGAAGTCTTGCTCGCTGGCTCGCGGTGCCTTCGGAGTCCGGGGTCCCTTCGCTCTTGCCCTTAAAGTTCCACGTGTCTCTGCCTTCATCCTTCGAACTGTGATCTGTACTGGTTGTGGGACTTGTAGAAGGGAGTCAGGGAGACTCAGAAAACCTAGAAATGGTGAGTGTGCGACCGGGTGCAGATCCCGGGAAGAGGGGCTGGTCCAATGGCCTTGGCGGGCTGGTCTCTCCGCGGCGGGACTGGAGTCTGCGGATCCAAGTCCCCTGGGGCCTCGGCTCCTACCTCAGTCCTCTCGGGCTCGCAGTGTGGGCGCTGGGCCGGCAGCCGTGACTCAGGGCACCCGATCTGTCCCTGCTCACAGCGACTACGTCCCCGGACAGCTCTGCACCCGCATTGCCGTGTCTCCCAGTTGGTGCGGTGACCACGCGGAGGTTTTTTAGGGGCAGACTCGGTTTCTGGGGTTTGTGCATGGAAGAAGCTGTGGTCTCGTGGGGTTCCTTATCCCTCCTTTCTTCCCGAGAGAACCGGTTTTCTCCTGAGTTTTCATGTTCATGGAGCAGGCTCTCAAATCCACCACCTGTCCCCCAGACCTAGTTGTGCGACAAATGCCCGCGTTTCCAATCTCTCTCCCTAATTCCCAAGCGCCATTTTGCCTCTCTGATTCACCGGATTGTTATCAATTGTTCGTTTTTGAGGTGCGTTTCAAACTGTTAAAAAAACAATCAACTGAGTAAATTTGAAGAAATAATCGGCTTTATTCCCCATTCATGAATCGAGTAGCATCCTATTTAGTAAATAGAATCTCCCAGGAGCTGCACAAAATGGAAGGCTTTTTATAGGCAGAAATGCAATTTAAGAGGTTATTAGGAAAAGAGAAAAGGATTGTCTGAGGCAAGGTCACCTTTCCTTAGGAAAAGGAACAGCAAGAGTCTTACTAGGCAAGTTAGTGTAGATCAGGAAATTCCAGGCTGATCAGTTTTAAATTTTATTCTCGGGAGAGGTTGAAACAGCAGTGAAATAGTCTTACACCCCTTAACCAGAATTATCCTTAGGCAGTTTTGTTGTTTTGACTTCAGGTACACAAACTCACATAGCGAAGCCCTGTCCTGGTGCTCACTTGGTTAGAACATCATCCTGATCAAGGTTGATGAAGGTTGCAGGTTCCATCCCTGGTCAGGGCACATATAAGCAGCAACCAATGACTGTATAAATAAGTGGAACAACTGTGTTTCTCTCTGTCTCTCTATCTCTCTCCCTACCCCTTCCTTTCCCTAAAATCAATAAAAAAATAAAATATCAAAAATACCATGGTGTAGCCTAATACACCCCTAGGCTATATGGTATAGCCTGTTATCCCTAGACTACAAACCTATACAACATGTTATTGTACTGAATACTGTAGGCAATTGTAATGCAGTAGAGTGTGTATTTGTGAGTCTAAACATAGAAAAGGTACAGTAAAAATATAGTGTACAAAATAAAAAATGCTATGCCTTTATAGGACACTGCGATAAATGGAGCTTACAGGACTGGAGGTTGCTCTGCCAGAGTCAGTGATTGGTGAGTGGATATGAAGTCCAAGGACGTTACTGTACACTACTGTAGACTATAACACTGTACGCTTAGGCCACTAAACTTATAAAAACAACAGATTAAATAAAGCACAGGAGAAAATGATACAGTTAAAAGGCACAGCAGGCTTCTGGTCAAGATGGCAACATAGGCAGACATGGCTCACCTCTTTGCACAACCACATCAAAATTACAACTAAAATATAGAACAGCTATCACTCAGGAATGTCAGAAATGGAGTTGAATGGATGTCTGATAACTCTGAAGTTGAGATGAATTGAAGTCTGACAATTACAGAATTGAGGAAACTACATCCATCCAGACTGGTAGGAGGGGCACAGAGGTGGGACAAGTTGGCCCCACACCCATGTGGATAAAAATTCGGGAAGGATATCTCGAGGGTGAGAGATCCCAGACCCACAGCAGGACACCCAGCCCGGATTCCAGTGCC